ATATAGTGAAAAAATCAACAAAGGGCCATAATTCTGTTAAATTTGGTCGCAGCAAAAATTCCTTCCTTTACTACCATCAACACATTAAGGTTGTTCATCCCTGGAAGTTTAAGCAAAATCTGCCATCCAGTTTAAGAGGAGTTGCGTTCACAAAATTTCATCATAGTATATAGTGAAACAATCAACAAAGGGCCATAATTCTGTTAAATTTGGTCGCAGCGAAAATTCCTTCCTTTACTACCATCTACACATTGAGGTTGTTCATCCCTGAAAGTTTAAGCAAAATCTGTCATCCGGTTTAAGAGGAGTTGCGTTCACAAGATTTCGGGACGTACGGACGGACGGACGGACGTACCAGTTTTTCAGGTTTATGAGCTATTTCTATTGTTCTTTTCTTTTGTTTCCTTGTGGGCTAACTATTGTTTCCTTATGAGCTAACTATTATTTACGGAATGAAGTCCTTTGTTCTCTTTTGTCCCAGTGTACCGTTAGTTAGCTCATATACCTAAAATGTTTGTGCGGACAGACGTACGGACGGACGGACGGACAAGTGCAACGCTATATGCTCCCACTCTGTGGGGGCATAAAAACGCATTTTAAAACAATATTTTAATACTGGGATTCTGTAAAATGAGATATTTTGGTGATACAAAACTTTTGTGAAATCAATATTTCAGACTTATTGGCGAGGTTAAATATTCACAGATTTTTACAGTCAGTTCTGTAGAAATTATATGGTACATGTATGGTACATTTATTTTCTCTTTTGCTTAATTGAATTGCTCTAGAAAATTTATGATTTTACAGTATTCCATAAAATCAGAGGGACAATGAAAAATACCTGAAAGAATCCCTCATGGTTATACCTCAATATATTAAAATCAGATTTAAATAATGATTTATGAATGAACAATGAATGTAGATAAGAAGAAATGTAATGCTAACAAAAGCTATGACCAGACACTTAAAATATTTCTGATTAAAAAAAAATACTTATATATATTAAATACTTCACAGACAATAATGGTACAACATATAAAAATGAAAGATCTATAATTGTAAAACTGGAATGATTAACTTCTGATATGTATAATAATAAACCATATTGCTTGCAAAAAAATATACATTTCTACATAATAAATATAGTATCATGTAAACTTATATGTAAAAGAAATACAAAATATTTATAAACAAGAGGGCCATGATGGCCCTGAGGTCGCTCACCTGTATATAGGCCCCCCACCCAACCATCCCCCCCAACCTTGCAGGGCCAATTTAACCCAAGGGCTTTTATTTGCACAAACTTGGTAGACACCCATAAGAAGATGTTTCATGCTAAACATCTAAGCTCTAGCTCATTGGGCTTTTTAAAAGAAGATTTTTTTTAAAGTTTTTACTATACACATATAGTTAAAAACAATGACACCCCTGGGGCCGGGCCAGTTTTGACCCCAGGGCTTTTATTTGAACAAACTTTATAGACACTTACTAGAAGATGTTTCATGCTTAATATCTAAACTCTAGCTATTTGGGTTTTTTCAAAAAAGATTTTAAGTTTTTGCTATACACATATAAAGAAAATCAATGACCCCCGGGGCGGGGCCAATTTTGACCCCAGGTCTTTTATTTGAACAAACTTTGTAGACACTCACTAAAAGATGTTTCATGCTTAATATCTTAACTCTAGCTATTTGGGTTTTTTCAAAGAAGATTTTTTAAGTTTTTGTTATACACGTATAAGGAAAATCAATGACCCCCGGGGCGGTGCCAATTTTGACCCCAGGGCTTTTATTTGAACAAACTTGGTAGACACCTATTAAAACATGTTTGATGCTAAATATCTTAGCCATAGCTCTTTGAGCTCTTTAAAAGAAGATTTTTTAAGTTTTTACTATATGCATATAGGGAAAATCAATGACCCCCGGGGCGGGGCCAATTTTGACCCCAGGGCTTTTATTTGAACAAACTTGGTAGACACTTATTAGAACATGTTTCATGCTAAATATCTTAGCTCTAACTCTTTTGGTTCTTTAAAAGAAGATTTTTTAAGTTTTTACTATATGCATATAGGGAAAATCAATGGCCCCCTGGGGCGGGGCCAATTTTGACCCCAGGGCTTTTATTTGAACAAACTTGGTAGACACCTATAAGAAGATGTTTCATGCTAAATATCTTAGCCATAGCTCTTTGAGTTCTTTAAAAGAAGATTTTTTAACTTTTTACTATATGCATATAGGAAAAATCAATGACCCCCCGGGGCGGGGCCAATTTTGACCCCAGGGCTTTTATTTGAACAAACTGAGTAGACACCCATTAGAACATGTTTCATGCTAAATATCTTAGCTCTAGCTCTTTGGGTTCTTTAAAAGAAGATTTTTTAAGTTTTTACTATATGCATATAGGGAAAATCAATGACCCCCCGGGGCGGGGCCAATTTTGACCCCAGGGCTTTTAATTGAACAAACTTGGTAGACACTCACTAGAAGATGTTTCATACCAAATACCTAAGCTCTAGCTCTTATGGTTTTTTAAAAGAAGATATTTAAAGTTTTTTCTTTCGGTTGCCATGGCAACCAGAGTTCTGCATGGAATTAAATTCTTTTAACAATTTTTATAGGTGACCACCAAAGGAACATTCCTGTGAAGTTTGGATGAAATTGGCTTAGCGGTTTATGAGGAGATGTCATTTAAAGTAAAAGTTTACGGACGGACGGACGCCGGACGAAAAGCAATCACAAAAGCTCACCCTGTCACTTTGTGACAGGTGAGCTAAAAACACTTGGAAAAAAATGTTATGTTGCAATTTAAGAATTGTGACAAAAAATACATAAAGCACTTCTTACACCCCCTCCCTCCCCTCACATTCCAAAATCTTTATTCAAGATGGTGGGCTTTTTTGCCAAGAGATCAAAGATCCCCTTAAAATCATTAGTCCCTTTCCCCCCTTTTACTACTTAAACACATACATATTGAATTGTTGCAATTAAAGGAGCTATTCATATGTTTTACAGGTTTATGATTTTCCTGGTGGACAGGTGGATGAAGACCTTATATGATCTTCCCTATAATATTTCACAAACTAACAGGCACAAATATGGACACTTTATAGAAAACATAATAACATATGACTAGTATGAACAAGACAAGAATATGGGTAACACCCATCAATACTACCCAATGTTGCTTTAACAAAGAATCAAATATGGCCTTATTACATGTATAAGAAAATGAATGATAATCTATTTTTAGATTTAGTGACCTTGATCTTAAGCCAACTCAACTGAAACCCTCTCCAAAGGTGGTGGTCTATAGAAGGCACCAACACAACACAATATCTAAATTATATAAGTAAATAATGACAGTGCTTTGAGCAATGGTATCTTTAATATGATAAATTAGAAGGAAAGAGAATAAAAATAGGTTTGGCTGAAACATTATGGGCAACAAAAATGACCAACACATTATAAAACACAACAATTACAGTGACTAGATTTTTGCAATATTCTTGGAATATCTAGGTAACAAATCAATCTGTATTAACGCAGACTTGTATAAAAGCACTCTATACTATAAACACCATTTATTTTAAACCTATAATATTCAGTAATATTCCTTTCTGTGTATTTCAAATATACATAAAGTAACATTGCCAAAAAACTGTTAACACTAAACTATCTTTTCCAAACAAGCTCTTGATAATTATGTCTGTTTTCAAATATACACAAATAAGTACATGACATGAAGAGGTGAAAATGTTTGCGATCATAGGTTCCAGCCCTAATTAGATAAAGATCATTATTCACCAACAGTACTAAAACATACTAAAATATATTAAATAAATTGAAATGATTTGATTAGATTCACAACCAAACTATAAATACATTATGATCATACTTATCTAAATCATGACCTGTGTGAACTATGTTGTTGATGTGAACATGTAGCAGTTTATATGCATAGCAAAAATTCAATAATTTAAAAAAATCAATTTTGTAAAAATTATGTCAGTCAGCATACAATGACAAAATTGATACATGTAATCATGAGTAAAATTCAATCTTGTTTAGAAAAACATAACTTTCATAAATTGTTCTCCTAGTACAATAATACACATAGAGTGATTTGAAACATAAACATTATGTCATCCATTTAACTTCACAATAATATTGTTAATTTTTTCAATAGTAAAACCAAAAAATGCATATTAACAAAACCACAGGTCACACTAGAAGAGACCTTTCGGCCACTTTCAGCACACCCTTTACTCTTGAACTGCTGGGACCAAAAGTGATTAGCCATTGCCACCAGTATAGAGCCAGACTGTGCATACTCTATACTGTTGGCTGACAAATTGAAAATTTCCACTGTGGAACCCCCAAAGTGCCAATAAATTGACAGTTCCAAATATGGAAGCCTGACAAGTCTTCTTATGAACTCAACAATATATTGCTAATTTTAACACAAAAAAAAAGATTTTTTTAGCAAATTTTAACATTGAGAAAAAAATATAAGAAAAAGTCAATTTCAGCATAGATACAAGATACTTGTAACAAACATCTCCAACACCAAAAATTTTAAACAAATTACAAGTGAAAATTTGTAACGTTGCCAAAGAAGAAAAAGGCTAAAAAATTAATTAAATCAGTTATATTTGGCTGATACACTCAACAGTTATTTGATATAAGTTTAAACAAAACCTCTTTTTGAAGAATATGTAGTTCTTATATTTACTTTATAAAAATATAAAAAGTTAAAAGAGAACAAACATAGAGATTTCCTTCCTGAGTACACAATGTAATGTAGTATTGGTAACAAAATATACCCCTCATTCCTTTTATGGGGAGAAAAAATGGGAATACCTAGCTGGAGCTTAAAACGGAAAGCCTTTGCCACCATTGCAGGGCCAAGCAAACCTGCAAATCTGTAGTTTGACCATGCCCAACATTGATGACCAATTAAATTTAAACATTCTTCTTGCCATCCCAAAAGTTCCAAATTCCAAAATTAGAAGCTGGGTAACTCCAGTTAAGGAATCAGCATTACTGGTTAATACAAAATTATCATTACTATAATACATGTATATACATGTTAATATGATATAAAAGTTATACCCTGAAGTGGTAGACACGTGTACAAATGATAAATCTATTCATTGGCAGCACTAGAAATCTTATAAAATAAATAATACAAGAATTAAAGGAGCCTGTCCCTTATCATAAACTAAGATGGCATAAGTCTAGAAAAAAACTCTATACACAAAAAATGCTTAAAGCAGCATGCCTCCAAATTCATGCTTATTTTCATGGATTTTTTTTTAATGCATAACAAAGTAAAATATTGTCAGACCAACAAAGGAAGTAATTTAAACATTGCAAATGGCACTTAAAATCTATGAAATCTAGCAAAATATGGAAAAATAACCCTCTCATAGTAGATATATGGTGATAAAAACTGCAAAATCAGTCATTTAAAAGTTGCATACAACATGTTAGTTATTTCTTGAATTTTGAAAAATTTCACTGTTCAATTTTGGTACATTTTTCTCTATGTTGATTTTCTGAAATATTTGCTTGTCTGGAGGCATCCAGCTTTATGACTAAAATGACATTATTTTTTTTCTACCAGGTACACTCTATGTCAAATGAAATAAACTTTAAAATAGAGCAATCAGCTCTGTATCAATTTAATTACTCCACAAACTGGAACTTTGAAATTCCTGAAAAGCTTAAAATACTAATATCAGAAACAGATCTTGACTGTAACTGAATCTATATATGTACTCCCTCTCTGTTTGCATTAAACTGTACAGGATTTTCAAAGTTATCGTATGATTTGGGTATACGTCTAATATACCCTTTCCTTATGCCCCAGTAGATCAATGCAGTGGTGCCGGCTACTCCTACAACAGCCAAAATGATAGGAATCCCAATGATCACAAAATATCGCCATGGTTCCGGCCCATCATCAAACCATGGTCCTTTTGTACTGTCAGCTGTAAATAAAAAGTAAAAACAATTGTGAGCAATTACCCAAGGTCCTTTTGTAGTAACTGTATTAGCTGAAAAACAAAATACAACATGATGAAATATTTGTACTGCAAATATTCACATCAAACCATTGTTATTTCCTTTTATTTGCTAACAAAAGACCAACAACGAATATAATCACTTAATTTGTCAAATAGTTCCCAACAGCATTATACTACCAATAATTATACTTATAATCATTATACATAATTACAGAACAGGTCCGGTACATAAAAACTACATTTTATATAGTAGAATATGTTAAATAACAAGAAATCAAACATCCTGAAATATTTGAGAGCAATTTCTAATCCAAATGGTCAATGAAGAAAACCATAGCACATGCCTGAAGTACCCCTGTGTCTACAAGAATCTGAAGGTTCAATACACATAGACAAGTGAAAACAAAAACTATAATAACATTGCAGGAAATAGCTTCTGTACCTGGGGCTTAGAGAATGTTCTAGAACTGATCAGTCATGTGACAGTAGTCATGTGTCTGGATGGCAATGTGTATACTGGATAATATTAAAGTGTAAGTCACTGTCATGTAATACAGTAGTTGCTGAAAGAGACCCTTAAATTAATCACTTATGTAAGTCTTTTTTTTGTTTAAATACTGTATTGTACTGTACTGAAAAGTCAAGTTTCGATCCATTAAAGAGGGCTTAGAGACTTTTTCAGAATGTACATATTTAATTAAGAAGGTAGGGCCCATCTCTAAATACTAACAACACTACAAATACCTACTTTGATGAAGAAGAATTTCTCCGAACAAGCCATTGTTTGGCACTGTGACATTTGACCTGATCTTCCAAAGGTCATTTTGCTGGAACAAGGTGCTATGGAATGTAAAGTTTTCAGGAAATCTGTTCACATGGTCAAACATCACATGGACTGTAAATATAACCTCCAGCTGACTTTTCCCATCCTGTTCACCTATGATACATAAACTTATATGTAACAAAGTCAAAACTACTTAATGCAATATTGTTTGTTTGTTAATGCAATATAATAATATAACATAATCAAGTGCATTGATACAATGAAGTACGATAAATAAAACATGACAAGTGTTTGGCACAAGATATAAATTTATTCTGTATAAAGCCTTAACATGTGCTGTTAAGATATTTACTAGAAATACTGACCGAGCGTGCTCAAACAAACATTATACAAAGGGTCAGTTCAAGTTCATCATGCATGATAATACAGTGTACATTTAGAACATGACAGCTGCTTAAGTTTTACCTCAAATATACAGTTTGGTTTTAATGACCATGATGACCCACCAAAACAAGAAAGATGATTTTGGCAAACCACACCAAACTTCAAAGCAACACCAGGTGTAAAAATCACCTCACTTGCTGGAGTCAAGAAATATATAGACTCCAATAACTTAAACCCATTTAGTCGCCTTTTATATTCAAGCAGGGTTAAATGGTGACTGCAATTCTGATGCCTTACCCTGTAAAGGCAACCTCTCAGCCACAAGGGGCTCAAATATACAGCGGGGATCTTAAAGTTTTATTCAGTGTACAGGTTACCACTAATTAAGCAATAATTACATCATTCTCATAACTTTATACCGGAAGCATCTTAAAGATGCAATTTATGTTTTCGTAAAAAAAAAAAAGAACATGTTACCTTTCTATTGTGCATCAAAATTATTGCCATACAAACTGTAAACAAAGAAAACCTTTCAAATACCTTCCATCTCAACTGTGGCCCCAAGTCTATCTTTGAAAGTGACAAGAAGGCCATCTTTGTTCAAATAGTGCTCTGAATGTATAAACAGCATACAGTAATTTTGTGTTCCATTATACTGATAATAACCTTCCCAGTGTTGATGCTTTTTGAACACTTCCATATATTCTGGTTTATCACTCAAAGCATCTGTGAATTGGCAAAAAATAAGTTTTTTATATTAAAACAAGAGCTGTCGGTAGGACAGCACGCTCGACTATTCTAAGTGCTTGATAGTAAAAGAGCCTTGATAATATTAAAATTTTAAGATCACAAAAGGGCTAATTTTTTTTTATAAATTCATGTTATAGGCCTTAGAGAGAGTGTAATTATACAGTATTGGCTTGACTTTTCGTAAGGTAATGTCACAAGGGTGTTTTATTGAGTATAATAATACTAATTACCTATGAATACATAAATTTGACAGAAAAGATGTTTTATTATAAAGTAAATCACTGCTTTATTATTATGAATGCATAAAATTTGTCCCAAAAAAGGCACAAACCCTTCAGTAGTAATTGAGATAACAGCTTACAAGCAAAACTTTACCATGAATTTATAAGGTTAAAAAAAGGGGAGAAAATCAAGCCTAAATGCAAGGTAGAATTATTGATCTTTGTCAGTGACCTACAATTATGGCCCTAAATGCATATGTGAAGTTTTAAATAAATATCTTTAATAGTTATATTGAGATATGTAAAACTTGCATGTAAACATTAACCAAGAGACCTAAGTAGAAAAGGGGTATATGAATCAGCTTTAATGCAAGATAGAGTTATTGGAACTTGGTCAGAGTTATGGAGATTGGTCAGTGACATTATGACCTCCAATTATGACCCTTAGTGCATGCGTAAAGTTTCAAGTAACATCTTTGAAAGACCTTTAACCTTTAAAAAAATTTTTAAGTTTCAAAGGGGCAAATAATTCTGCAAATATTCAGGCAGAGTTATTCAATTTTGCAAACTGATGTAACATTGTTACTATAAAAAAGTATTTTTTAAATTTCAATTGAATATCTCAAGCAATAATTGAGATATTTGACTTTCAAAAAAACTTTAACCAAAATTTCTAAGTTCCAAAGGGGCTAATTCCGTCAATATTGTAGGCAGAGTTAATCCAACTTGTCACTTTGATGTACCTTGTTACTATAAATAAGTATTGTAAGTTTCAATTGAATACCTCAAGCAATAATTGAGATATTTGACTTTACAAAAAACTTTAACCAAAATTTCTAAGTTAAAAAGGGGCATAATTCTGTCAATATTGTAGGCAGAGTTATCCAACTTGTCAATCTGATGTACCTTGTTACTATAAATAAGTATTGTAAGTTTCAATTGAATATCTCAAGTAATGATTGAGATATTTGACTTTACAGAAAACTTTAACCAACGCAGACGCCGACGCGGACGCTGACGCCGACGCCGGGGCGACTACAATAGCTCTCATATTCTTCGAATAGTCGAGCTAAAAATGAATTTCAGTCGGTCTATGACAATAAATACATACCGTAGTAATTAAACTGCTGTAAAAGTTAATAATGAAAGGTTGAGATTCAACAGTGAGGTGGACATATCCCACTCTATTTTGGCGCCATTCGCACTGAAGATCTTAGACAGATGATTGTAAAACCTTGGACCCATTCACTTCCCAAATATTACATGCACTCTCGCAAGGGCAGGGTGACAAAAAATGTAACAAAAGCAGTTAAAAAAACTGTTTTTTAAATATATCAGTAAATCCCTTAAAATTATGTTAAAATTCCTACATGTACATATTTTAATGTAAACTTTTATTGAATCATTAAACACAAATATTTCTTACAATAACCTTGGACAAAATACATATGTAATTGGACAAACATCTACAGGCTAGATACTTAAAGTTGACTGATATGTAAGAGTAGTGTTTAAATCATTTATAAATGCTAACAACTTAAAACATTATATTAATAAATAAATTTTCCATGACATGATATTAAACCATTTGAATAAAACAGGACAGTTAAAATCTTATGCCATAGGCATGTATTTCTCTAATTTACACTGTTTACTATGGACAATAAAATAGTATTTCACAACATTAAACAAGACTAAATTGCAGTGCATGCACCAAATCGGTGGCGAGGTAAACAAACCCAAACACACACACACAAATTGTACAAAGAGGTAATATGGTGATAGTCTCCTGTTTCTTGTCCAAATAAATTATGTCCGAGCTTTTACACATCTTTATTCTTAAACTCTAAATCAAGAGCTGCACTGATAATTTTAAGTGATATGTGGAATAAAATCATCACATACTGACAAGCTTAGCAACTAATCAAAGTCAAGGATAATTATAAAATTGAACATGTATTTACAATAAAAAATTTCATACTCATTTTAATGTTTACAATTACAATGTTTATGTCATCATGATAGTGTTTTAAGGTGTTTTTTTTTGGATCTGGAAAAATAATAACAACGACTAACAAATAATGTTTTGTATATGTCAAGTTAATACATGTACTTGCCACTGAGTTTAGTCCTTGCCCCCTACTGCCAACCCTACCCCTGTTAAAAATGAGGTTTAAAAAACCACAAACTTATCACCACCAATTTTTACACTTCTAAGTTCTTTCTTGGGCTTACCTCCTTTTCATTTTGTCCAAGATTACTGTACATTAAGGTTCTCATTAGGCCCATTACAAACCAAAATTTATATCTTTGGCTAATACTCCATGGAAATTTCATTGGGGTTATTTTCCCTACTTTGTGCTTCAAAATTACTTGACAGCAAAAGCTGCAAGTATTCTCTAAATGGGCAGATGGACCCCCATGACTAATAATTATGCAATTGATATAATTATAATTTACATGAAATGGACAGAAAATGGGACTTAAAAAAGGTTTGGAGCACCAAACTAAATACTCCATTTATATGCATGTACGGGAAAAAGCGCTTAAATGATTAAATGCTAAAATCTCGCCTTTTCACCTGCATTTTAGTACATGTAAATGTTGTTCGTTTTAATTGCCGTTTTAGCTTATTTCCCTTACCTTATTTGTTAGGGTTAATTTGATTGGTGCTTTCGGCTTCATTCTATCTTTTTTATTGGTCGACTTGATTAATATAATTTGATTAGTTCAGAACTTGTTTTTCACTTGATTTTGACCAATCAATAAGTAAAGAAATTATTGTCACATCTACCAAATGTGTATAAATACAGGATGAATTTCTATATTACTTGTCTTGGGAACTGGCCGACAGGTCAGTTCACTTCAAAGCTTAAAGCCAGCCCGCATAGCTCAATCGGTTAGAGCGCGAGACTTGTAATCTCGACATTGTGGGTTCGATTCCCGGGCTGGCCAACTAAAATTACTAATCAGTCTTTCGGATGAGACTTTAAATCGAGGTCCCGTGTATGGGTGCTTAAACACTTGGCACGCTAAAGAACCAGGAGAAGCTTCTGGAATTGGGGCATCTTTCTGTATCTGTAATTGCACTATCCTCCAAAAAATAAAATGACTAATACTCTTCTGGAGGGCTCGCCCATATGGGCAACCGGTGGCGAGTATAAATAAACGCAAATACACACACTTCAAAGCTTAGACATCTTTTCAAAACTTTATAGTTTTGACTATATTTAAATCTATATGATTTTTATTAATTTAGGATAGACTTAATAATAAATACTTAAAAATTCTCTTTCAATATTATTAAAACAGTCATATTTAGTAGATTCTGATTTTCAATATAATCTCATTTAACCAATTGATAAATAAATTTATTTATTCATTTTAATAAATTTCATAGTAATAAATCTATAAAGTCTTGTGTTGTACTTTCTTAATTAGAGTAAATTGAAGGTAGCGTCCAAACACAACCATCCTAGCCACTGGTTGGCAATTAGAGTTCAGAGAACCTTGTTATAGTTCTCTATATGATCACGTGTTGTCCATATGGCCATTTATATACGGTATGACTATAAAGAGCACCACTGAGTGTTCAACTCGACTCATCTTCAACTTTAATCACTGCTGATAAACTGGCACAATTACACATTCAATGGAATGAACTTTAAAACGTCTAATTCATCTCTACACACTCATTTATATACAATAAATAATGAAAAATATAAGAATCTGCTTAATTAAACAAAAAACAAACGATATTTGTTTATTTTGTGATCATGATTTCTGCGTCTAGAGGTAGATCTACTGCGCCCAGCAAACAAAAGACGTTGTACCAACGTTGTACTGACGTTAGACCCTGACGTTGGGTAAACGTTGGCAGAAGGTTGGATTTGAAAGTTTTTTAGACATCAGAAACCGACGTCTATACAACGTCAAAAAATGACCTTTATCCAACCTTTTCTGACCATAATCCAACCTTTTCTGACCATTATCTGACCATAATCCAACCTTTTCTGACCATTATTTGGACATAATCCAACCTTTTTCTGACCATAATCCAACCTTTTCTGACCATTATCTGACCATATGCCAACCTTATCTGACCAAATTTTCTGACCATGATTTAACCTCATTCAAAACTTTTGGAATATGATTTTTTTTCATTTTGAAGCTCTTTAATAGGGTTAATAAATAAGCATTCTTATAATTTTAGCAATTTATTTTATACTCGGAATCACAAGTACAAAACAAGAAATTTGGTACTAAAACAAATGCAAGATTTACAAACTATCAAACTTGCCGGTATGTACTTTAATAACGCTTCATGTATTAATTAAGCATGTTTTAGAAATAAGATCTTGAATATTAACACTGACATTTTATATAGCAAACATCCATGCATGTGTTTTTTCTTATATCACCACTGAACTGATCACTCTGAGTTTGGAATTTTTCAATCATCTATCCAACTCACTGATTGTATATTTGTCTTTGTATTTTATAACTGAATCTAGATCTGAATGTTAAATGGAACAATATTCTGAATATTTTGTTATAACTATAAATAGCAATGTTCATTTATCTTCATTAGTATTCTAGCTTCTTTTGTCTCCTACACTATGTCGATCTGGGGCATACTTTAAGCGTATCATTACCGTCTCCAACCTGAGATCTCATCACACTTTCTGAAATTAAAAAAAAAAAATCAGTCACAAGTGCAAAAAATATATCATTTAATATACATATTATAATTAAACGAAATTCTAACAAACTACTTAAAAAGATACTTATTATTTTTAATTTAGTTTAAACCATGTAGTTTCGTGTACCTACTGTATATATCTATTAATTTTGATAAAAATGGCTTCATGGTGAATTTCATTGTAAAATCAAGGGTAATAAGATCACTGTATTTTCTATAATATTTTGAAATATATCTGTCACAAAATCTTGGTAGGTTTTCATTTTTCTTTTCCTCTAAATATTTTTATCTTCCTCCTGAACTTTTGACACATGTTGAATTATCATAATTTTCACGATCTGAAAGACGAAATATAATCAATATAATCGTTTTAGAATTTAACCATGTACGTGGTGGAAGGATGTTTGTCTAATACAATAGGCAAAATCCAATTACTATTAATCTTAGTTAACTCATAAGCGCATGAAAACTGATAAAACAAATACCAAAATGAAATTAATTCTACTCCCGCAAAAATTTATATTTTTATTTTTTATATTCAATGTACTTTGTACAAATGCTCATACAACATCAAAGAAATTCACATGTTACTGTCATTTTTATAGATATCATCTTTGCCCAGCATGATCTGGTCTGCTAAGTGTATATAGGACAGACTGGCTTAGTGTAAAAACGTTTTATGATACCAGCATACAACTTGTTGATAAGCAGGCTAATAAACAAACTATTACTTTTATTGATTTATAACTATGATAATGTGTTTTCGGATTGATAATATGTTGTTTGATTACATTAGTAAAAAGATAGCTAGTCAAATACAATGTGCTTTCAGATATATCTTAACAAAGTCGTATCATTTACTTGTATCAAATGCCATGAATCATTATCATAATATAAGAAACACATGGTATGCTAACAGTATGGGTAAAGTACTTCAATTAACAACGAGTAGTTTAACAACTACACAGATATCAAAATCAAACTGCATCTGATACATGTGTAAATGACTGGCCCCTCATATAAGGGAAATTCATGTTGATAAGAAATAAGAGGAAATTTTATTTACCAGCATTTGAATAATAAGAGTCTTACGTACTGCATTTAACTTTTTATTGATTTTAATTGCTAGGATATTTCCTACCATTGATTGTGCATTTATTTGGCATAGCGATATAGTGTGGAAAAAATGATCCGATTATACAGACTGTTCTATAGCAAATGATAAATCATAAAGTGTTCTTACGTGGAAACAAAAATATTTATCTCGCGAAATCACGTTACATTAAGTTTTACCAGTCAAACATTTCAATGATCAAATAACCATCGAATCCATGCAAACATGCGGTAAATTAGCATTGAAAAACAATATATAATGTTTGCCTACCTTTTTCTTTTGTTTGGAATATACAACTTTGTCTGTCGACCCGTCGTTTTTTTGTCCGCCAATACAATTGAATTTCAAATCCGATAAGTCGCAAATTCGAATTTACTAAATTATTTACCACTATAAAATGAAGCCCTCAAAAATGATAACAGCTTCATTGTAAATTATATAAACACTTCTTAGACTAATTCGAGGAGATAAGATATTATTTAAACGAAAATAGAGCAAATATATTTCATACTGATCTGCGACTATCCGTTTACAGAGTGCCACCTATCGAATATCGTACGTTAGCCACCCACGTGATACTGTTGTTTTGATGGAGAAAATATATATATAATGTTCCCTTTCTAACCTTAAACTTCTCGCCGTTTATGCTTTCATTTATATATATATATTGGTTTCATAAATTAAATTCACCTATTGTCAGATTACCGACCAAAACCCGACGTCGAGTCGACGTCAAAATGAAACGTCTGTTAGACGTCGGAGATTCAACGTCGATTTGACGTTGTATGAAGGTCACCGACGTCGCGACCAAAGTTCAACGTTGATCCAACGTTGGGTCAACGTCGGGTGTTTGCTGGGTGCATCCTAAAAAATAGGGACATGACTAGTCAAAATATATTGACGTGCCAAAGCTTGATTCTGAGATATTTTCGTTCTGGGGCAGAATCTCGCTTTAACGTAGAGGCGAGATATTGCCCAGACACGAAAATAGCACAATATCTCGTCGCGGAGTACAATTAGTTGGACTAGGGACATGACATGATGACTACAGGTTACTCACCACAATTTATTAAATGAGGTAATATTTGTATGATCAAATATGTTACGTATTTCATAACTGCTGAGAAAAATATCGAATCGTTGAGAAAATTGAACGTTAAACATTAATTGACTAATTAATAAGTTAAAAGATCATAATTTTACGTCTTGATCAAACAAACGCTTGATAGACGGTGTTACTACTTATTGTACCTCGATAATTTTGACACATCAAGAATAAATATTTGCATCGATCTGAATCGTTTTTAACCTAATTGCACAAAATTATGTTGATAAATGATTATAAGTTGTAAAGTTATGCATGAAAATAAATAATATTCAAGCAAATGGAATATTCAATTTCTCAGCATCAGCAACCGGTGAACATGTAAAATTTAGCTCCATCCGGGTTCTTACATGAAAGATGCTGAAACTGATAAAAATATTTGCGAATTGGAAAAAGAAGTTGTTTCTCTTGTAATGGAAATAAGGTTAAGTTGAGATAGTTATTGTTTTATGGCTGTGTTGAATAAATGTATAGAATCTATAAGTTTTTAAATTTTTATGTATTGTAACCACTGATAACATTAACCCTAGTTCTGGCTTCCAAAACTTTATAATATAAGCCGCTTTTTAACATTTTTGTTTTTCATCTGATGCGGCATTAAAGTTTTGGATTAGACCCGTTACGAAACCTAACCAGAATAACATAAGTTGATTTATTCTTGTTTTTCACTTGCAAATACACTTGACCCAATCAATTCTTGTGCATTTTACGATAAAACAATCATTTTAATATCATTCTATACCAATTAAAGTATCAAAATGTTACTACCGTCATTAAAATTGCCTATTTAACATTAAAATATCAATTTACGCCGACTACAGTTGGCCATGACATTCAGGTGCCACGCGAGATCTCGTATGACGTCAATCGCGGGAGCAGATTTGAATAGAGTCGTGTTCTATATTTAGAACATTTTGTTTACATGATTTCGATACTTTTATTCAAGATAATGTTTTTATTTATTTTCATTAATTTTTTAGTACTTAAATACGATTGTATTGAATATAAAAGTCAGTAAATCACCTTTTTCAATATCTTTATAAAAAGTAATTTATAAAAATATTGGAGGCACATGGGTTCGTAAAGGTCAATCTCGTAATCACGTGATCAAACATTTTGGCAATATGGCGGCCAAGTGCCGAAAATTTTACCTGTCGGAAACTATTAGGTAGTTTATGTTCGTAATAAGATTTTTATTTGTCCATCCTCGGCTTATCAACAGATTATATATAGTTTTATCAAGGTATGCTTCACTTTAATTCATGGCATGTTCGATGAATAAATACGAGCGTGTCAGATTCCTGGCACGATTATTGGTGGACTTTCCCTATGGGGTTATCTTCAGCGTTCACGTCATGTCATAGTATATAAACGGGTACGCTGAAGACCTTAAGCTACATTAACCCTAAGTCTAAGGGCTTACAGACACTTCACCCCCCAGACACTTCATCCTTAGCCCTTTTTTGCAGACACTTCACCCCTTAGACAGTTCACCTCTCATTTTAAGAAATTTGATTGAGACACTTCAACCCTCATTTTTTTATTTTGTGTTTAACAATTATTTATGTAGATTATGTAAAATACATTCAATAGTGATCGATTTAACATATTTTATCATGTAACTGACAAAAGACATTGAACGGATATATATATATATATTGTTGTTTTTGCCCTACAAAAAAGGCTCATATCACAAAGTTAATAGTATAAAGTTTTTTTTTTAATTTTTATATATCTATTTCATACTAGATCTAATTTCAATTTAAGTAAAAGTGATATACTTTTAGTTATTCACGAATTCGAAAACCTAGCTAAACGCCGTTTTCCGGTACTTTCTGTCACGGATTTATATTACAGGGATCGGACACTCCCAGTTAACCCTATATAAATGCTTAAATATCTTGTCGTGCACCCGATAAAGGTACATCGATCGATAATTTACCGGCGCGAATGGTAAATGCCCGTTTGCAACGGATACCTACTTTACAAAATACCATATAGCTTTTTCATTTATTATCCGATTTTGGAAATTTAAAGTTTATTTTGAAGAAAAATACTTGGTTAATTCAAATATCTAATTTATTTTTTAAAGGTACAGTTTATCTGTCCGCAACGACGGTTAAAAAATTAACTTGACGAAATCCGCGGTAAATTTACATTTTTTATATAAAAAGCAGGTATTTGAAATTTATTATTTCGGTACCATAATACTTTCAGTTTCAAAACAAAAAAGAAGCCGATGTAAGTTATTCACAGATGATCAAAGATACAATATTTAAGATTTATTGGGTTATGTAGATCTAGTCAAATTTATTAACGCACAATTGTTTTACGGGTAATGCATTGCGGCCTTTACACGTGAAGAAAATTTATTCATTTTTTAGTACAAAATATTGCAGAGATTGTCAATATTGCCATATTCATAGAATATTTAAATTTCATTCATCATTTATATCATTATTATTTTTTGTAAATCTGTTTTCAAATGTCGGTGCAGTGAAGTAGACAATCCTCGTAACAGTAAAGTTCTCTCGTGTGGCTGTCTCGATTCCAGCCTTTTTAATGTCACTCGTATATTTTAATCCGTATATTTTAATTATTCTTTTTATTTGAATGCCTGTAGAAAGATATTTATTATACTTTTCAATGTAACGCTAGAAAAACAATAAAAAAATTTACAGTATGAGTCAGTATTTTGCGAAATAAAAGTAACTGTTGATTATTTTTTACACATCGCTTAAATTTCTTTCAAGTTTAATTATGTTTGAAGGGGGGTAAGTGATAATTAAAAAACTTTATTTCCAAACTTTCATTTCAAGGTTACATGTGATAATTGCAACACTCAATCTTCAAAAACAAATATAATTTGAATGTATTTTATATATGCGCGGTCTTTAACTACAGTCCATGGCATATGTGGTAAGAAAATGATCCTGAAGAGGATATATATAAATACAATGTAAATCTATTTTCTTTATTAACATTTATCTGGGATATACGATAATCATTTATAAATGAAATTGAAAATATACAACTAAATTTGTATAGTCCTTTCTCTGAAAAATAATGAAAATAAACATGTGATAAATAAATCATTTGACGTGAATTGTTTAGGATATCTATGAAAAAATTATGTTTCAAAATAAAAAATGATATTATAAAACAGCTGTTCTCTGTGCCAATAAAAGTTTCTTCCTTGCCAATCTAATGAATTCATCTATATAGGAATGCTTGTCTAGAATGATCTGAAAATATATTTAATACACTTATTAGTAGAATATTTACTATATTTATACTAATATACAGGTAATCAAATAAAAAATGTACAAATCATTTGGAAATAATTCACAGAAATAAAGACACAATTCAAACATGAATTTCTTTAAAAGTTTTTTAGCAATCAAGAAACATTTTTTTGCAATGCCATCATTAAACCATGTAAAAAATAATTATCTTATTCTGAATCGCGGTAATAATTCGTGCTTGAAGTAAAAGGGCGGCGAAGTGTAGAGAGTATGCCTAAACAATAGGCGAATATTTTTTAAATTAGGTACTTTTTAACTAAGCGTTGCAGCGTTCTATCAGCATATTTTCATATAATAATACGTTAGCGACACAAAATAATACTATATCAATACATTCATATGTGTATAATTTTTCACAAAGCTGCAATAACACCACATACTCCGGTGAAAATCTGTCATATTTCGTACTCCGCACGTTCCGCCATCTCATTCTGTCAACCTTTATCCGATTCCGCGCATGCGCGCGACGGGACTTTAAGCTAAACGAAAGTGTCCGATCCTTGTAATATAAATCCGTGTTTCTGTACATAGCTCTGGGGAATTCACCTAATAGAGTACGTGTAATAGCGAACTCTATGTTTTCGGCCTTTTTTCAATTAAATTGAAATAAAACAGTTATTTCTTTATAAGAAAATTATTAAATATCATTGTATGAATAATTCCATACAAAAATAAAGTAAACACACAAGTTTACGCAGAAAATAACCTTATTTATTATGGAAGATTCCACTACGTCTGTTTGAATTTTATTGATTTTCATTATAAATAATTTATTTTTTTTGAATAATTTGCAATAGATATTAAAGGAATATTGATAATTTTCAAAAACATCAATTTTTTTTACCTTAAAAGTATTTTAGCAATCAAGAAACATTTTTTTGCAATGCCACCATTAAACCATGTAAAAAATAATTATCTTAATCTGAATCGCGGTAATAATTTATGTTTGACGTAAAAGGGCGTCAAAGTGTAGAGAGTATGCCTGAACAATAGGCGAATATTTTTTAAATTAGGTACTTTTTAACTAAGCGTCGCAGCGTTCTATCGGCGTATTTTCATATATTAATACTTTAGCTGCACAAAATAATACTGTATCAATACATTCATATGTGTATATTTTTTCACAAAGATGCAATAACACCACATACTCTTGTGAAAATATGTCATATTTCGCACTCCGAGCGTTCCGCCATCTCATTCTGTCCACCTTTATCCGATTCCGCGCATGCGCACGACGGGACTTTAAGCTTAAACGAAAGTGTCCGATCCTTGTAATATAAATCCGTGGTCTAAGGTTTGCTAATCAGACAAGGCCAAGGTATGAATTGTAATTTCATAGTAAGTTACACCTTATTTAATTCCATATTTTTATCTGTGACATGATATGATAATATGTAAGAGATTGAGAACAAGCAACTACATGTACCAACATGGTTCTCAGTGACGCTTATTTCGGCATCCCGGTACGCATGTTTATTACAGCTGGACGCAAATATTTCAGAGCAAGGTTTCCGCATACGCTTAATTTTGCCTGAGGACGCATAAACATTACCCATTGTTTAAAACCACAAATAGGTCAGCGCGTGTCAGTCTATAGGTAAGGCGGTCCTATGCACATCGACCAGTGAAGCGATTAACCAATCAGCAATAACGCTTTCGATCATTATCACGCGATAGCAATCAGACTAATGTATACACGGGTTTACACATGTAATTACCAGATATAACACAAGGTGATAACTTTTAATCTTTGATCAACAGTTGATTGGAAATTAGCAAATTTTACCGACAAAAGGATTAACTAACAAAAAATATTGACAATATAGGCGGAAATTAATTATGCTGCAAGTTTAAAGACTGTTTCCTCAAGTTTACAAATGAGTGTAATAACTGAATTATTGTCGAATATTTTCGGCATTTTCTAGGGAAAAGTTTGCTTTAGTTTCCATTCTTGCAAACATGTTCTATAAGAGCATTAAAAATTAAAGATATATTATTGTGCCGATATGCCAAGACAACAAAACAAAATACACATACCCTTTTCTTTGAATTTGATATTTATCCAAAATTTGATCCCTAACATCGGCGATTTCACATTTGCCAGAAACCCTAAAATTTCACAAAGGGCACACAAATTCTAAGTTTCCAAGCCAAACATGTGAATGAATTGTTCCTGTGCCTTTTGAAAATATTTGCTAAAATAATTGTTGATCAGATGAATCTCTTACACACTGTTTGAAGCTGTACACGATTTTCCTATTCACTGCGCTAAACGCTGCCTATATACATTTACGTTTTTTTTTTACAAATATAAACTTTTGGTCTTTAGAAATTAGAGTGGACTTATTTAATTTTAACCAGATTAAAATTTGATTTGGTATAAAAGTGAAAAAACAAACAAAACAAAAACGATAATCACGGTGTTTCAAATACATGTACATGTATGATAGCATACATGTATATATGTTCTTTTGAGAAGACATTCTATTTTGATCACATTTATAACACATATTTATTTGAAATCTATTATCATGTTGACATATCATATATTTGTCAGAAATAAAACAGATTAGTCTTTAATGCTTTGTTTCATTATTGTGTTGATACATTGTAATTTTATTGTTTCATTATAAATATTAACAACAAAACAATAATTATACTATGTAGTTCAGAGTTTGTTTTGAATAACTATAAACTTAAAAAGTCTCTTGAAGATTGAAAATATCAGCAATGCTGTTGTGAGCAAAAGCTGTAAACATATTCATTGCGACACGCTTTTTGGACTCCAACTTTTTTAGGCTTGGGAGGCCATGGACTCCATGTTTTAAAGTCCTAGTGAGAACCCTGACCAATTAGATGCAATTTCTTGTGATGGAAGGCAATTTACAGTCAATCAATAAAAGGCTAAATGGCAGTGTGTCCGCCTGATTGCATTAAAAGAATTATAATAATTGTTTAAAACTGTTTATCCTGTCCCATTTTAGCTCAACTATAGAATCAAACTTTAAGTATATGGAGAGCGGAAGTGTCCCTGTCAACCTAAATGTATTATCTTCGCTCAGACTTCTGGTTAAAGTTTTTATGAAATTTGAATACAAATTCTTGAGTGATAAATTTCTAAAATAGAATATATTCCTTACCATCACCTACACTATTTGTGACAAGATTCATAACTCTAGAACCAATTTTTTCCAGATTTATGCCTCCCTTGAAAATAAAAATAATGTTATTTTTCACCCATGTAATAACTTATTTCTTGACGGATTTTCTTCAAACTTCCAGTATTCAAACATATGTTCCTGAACAACTCTTAATCATCACCTGCATTACCAGTAACAAGTTTCATAACTCTAGCGCTACTATATCCAGAATTGTTCCCTGCCTGAACTTGGAATTTCCTTAAAACTAAAAGTCTTCTCATTTAATATCTTTATTTCTTTAGGGATTTACTTCAATACTATTTATTGTATTTATTATTAGTTATCCGGATACAGAGTTTTCATTTTTGTGAGGATTTTTATACAATGAAAATAGGAGAGAAAAAATTTGGGACTCTGAGAAATGTCCAGTTAACTGAGGATTCTGGTTTAGTAGAGATTTGGTTTTATGGGTTTCTGCTGTAATATTAATTTTTCCATCTGCTGTCTTTACAAAATGCTTGCTTTTTTCTTTTATTTCTTCATTATTTATAATTTACTTTGCACAAACTGTGACATAGGTAGATTGTACTTTGCTTGTATTTGTATTCTTACTACAATAAAACTTTCTACAACTGTGATAATTTATATAATAATGATAAGACTTTATTTAAAGAGGCAACACAGTTAGGCATGACTAAGTCTTCCGTATGAGCCTCTATCAACTATACAATCTACATAATATAAACAAAAACCTGGTTTTATGGCCATGCTTCTTGTAATTTCTTTTTATATTTTGTTGTTGCAGATGCTGTATATACATGTTCTGAGAACAAAGTAAAGCATAGGAACCAAAAAACATGTATAGTTCTGCATTTCAACAGAAGTAACACAGGTTTATTCTGCAGAGATTAATATAGGATACAATGTTGGTCAACAGAAAGACAAGTTTCCGGGAGAACTTACCTTTGTCAGACTACGGTCCAGATGAAAATCTCAATGACAATGCTGACATTGATTGGGTCAACAAAGATTGGGTAAATAGTCATTAATTTATGTTAATACAGTACATTGCTTTTTTTTTTAATTTCTAAAGAACTCTATCAGTTGAAATACAAATTCATAGACAGAAATGCTGTTAAATTTTAAAGGAAATGATGAAAATAAAAAGTTTTAAAAAGGGACTGTCTTGGATCTAGATTTTTATAGATAGAGAGTGTTTATAAAATGTATGATATGGTAGAATCATTTACTCCAAACATGCAAAGGTTAAATTAGCAAGGTTGGCCAATATCCTGTTTGGTCATTAATTTTGATCAGTTTCACAAGATTAAATATTTTTACAAGGAAATAATTTTAGAGCAATTTGAATGATTTCAGGTGCGAAGGTTGTTCAGAGGATGTGCCCTGGTCAGCGTAATGTCTGTCAGTATGAACACACCAGCAACATTTCAATATGTTCCGTCACTGGAATATCTGACATTTGTCCTTGATCTGATTGTAACATTTCTATTCACTGCAGAAATGATTGCCAAAATGCACATTAGAGGGATACTTAAGGTAAGGGTATTATACAATTATAGGAACCTGTATGACAGTATCAACTTTCAAGGGAAGATTGCATATTGTTTAAAGTTTTTACAATAAACACTTGTCTGACTCTGAGTTGTCTGAGATTTCAGACATTTGTCTGTTGAATGTATTAGCATAAACATGTGTGTAAGTTTTACCTGAGATAAAAATCTGACTCTGAGTCATATACCACCCTAAAAACTTTTCACTGGTACATGAATAAATTGGCCATCTGAGTATCTGTCAGTCAAAGATTTTGCTAAAGAGAGTGCAAAGTAATAAAGCAATTTGCCTTGCCAACTTGGGTAGGAGATTGTTCAAAATTTTGACTTTAAAGTGGTTTTTTTTTTACCAATCAACAGCCGTCATGCTGATCGCATATACCACATTGTGATTAGGCATAACTCTTTTTCTATTCTAAAAGATGTTTGTTGCCATTTTGAATTTAAAATCATGTTTCCTATGTCAAATGCAACATTTTTAAAGGGACATTAACATTTTTACACAATAAAGTGTTCATAACATTTGTATAATTATTGAAATATTACAGGGTGATGTACCATACCTACGTGATCGATGGTGTCAGTTTGATTTCTTCATGGTATTTTGTCTTTGGATCTCAGTCATTCTACAGGTCAGTGCCTTTTGTGATATGATTATGGGGCAATGTGTTATGTGGAGACAAGAAAATGATACAGTTTTTAGTTTGTCTTTAAGAGTTTAAGTTAAGTAAGCACCTTTGAGATTGTTTTCCATAAGCAGAGCATCTCAGTATAGAGCATGAAACTAGACAAATCTTATCAAATAATGATCATAAAGTGATCCCTTTCAAAGTAATTTAGAGAAATCTTTACAAAATTTTCTTCCAAATTCTTGTCCTTTTTCCTATTTCCTTTCCCTAGTTCTCTATTGACTATTCCTACATGATTTTTAAAAATAACTTTATTTTCCTAGTTTGTTTTTCTAACATTTTTATGGAAAGCTTGTCTATGACTATGGAGGCTCTGTATGTAATACATGTTCATGATAAAATATGCATATAATAATTAAAATATGTATTTTCTTTTACAGGTGTTTGAGCTGACGAGAGTTGTCCAGCCTTATTCTTATTGGTCAATATTAAGGTGTATGCGACCACTGATCCTGATCCGAGTTTTCAGGGTTTTCCTGAAATTCTCACTTCCTAAAAATAGAATCAACTCGATATTCAAGTAAGATATCATCTATCGCATCATATAATGATATACATGTATTATGTGAAATGCATTTCTAACTTTAGTTTAACTTAAGTTTTATATTAATAATCTAAAGTCTCTAAGCTTAAAGCTAGTAATTGTAACAATGTGAATATTTTTTCAAATGATATATATATTTATATATATGTATGAAGTAAATATAGAAGACATTGTTTATTTCAGACGTTCCGGACAACAGATCTACAATGTAACCATATTTTTCCTGTTCTTCATGATGCTGTATGGTATACTGGGTGTACAAATATTTGGTGAGCTGAAACATCATTGTGTGAGGGAAAACGTAACCAATACTTCGTAAGTGAAATTTTCACATATGTGACATGATCAGTGTTTAAATGCTAATTGAGCATATATGAATACTGAGTAGTTCTGTAGTGTAATATTTCTTGCTCAAGGAAAGAGCAGTATCTTGCCACAGTCAGGTTTGAACCCTAGTGGCCAGCATTGCTATGATTTAATACACTGTTTCAAATTCAAGTGCATGCATGCCAGCATGTAATGTATATGCATTGTCCCAAATTTGAACTAACATATTTTGAGTTATGGCTAAGAGTTCTCTATTTTGAAGTACTTGTTTTCATATTCAAATATTAATTCGATGTATGGAGATGGGTTTGTACCATGTTATGTTCTGGGGTGGCTTGTAGTCTGCCTGCTGGAAAGAAAATAAATAATGAGAGGAAAATAAATTAATTGTAATCTTTATATGATGAGAAATAATATTTGACTATGACTATAAAGAATTTATAAATATTCTCCGTCATTTATCATTTGTTTGTAACATTAATTGAGGACAATTAATATTACAGTAAGATAACATTATATGACCTGGCAATCCCAGACACATACTGTTCCCCTGATGACCAACCTGGATACCATTGTCCTAAAGGCATGAAATGCATGTCTATTGATATCCCAAAGAATAACAGAGGATTCAATGGATTCGATGAACTACGTAAGTTTTTTTCACAGTCTTTCAAAAGACCTTTGCTTCATCTCCATTTAATAATTCAAGTCCCATTTGACACAGAGCCTTTACTTATATTTCAAACTGTTGCTGCTTAAATGCAAGTCCGGTGTCTTAGCTGCAGTTTAAATGATCAAAATTGATATTACAGTTTAATTTTAAAAAGAAAGGTACATAATATTTGTATGATTATATGATCCTCATTAACCTTATTAACTCATACTATTGTCTGTGAAGTAGTTGTTTTGTTGTTGTTTTATTTGGAGAAAATAATTCTTTTCAAGTCATAATTTAAATGCTATGAACTTGCTACTTTGTATGTGAAAACAAAGTAAAGTAATGGAATTTAGTAAAAATTTTAGATTTGAATGTTAAAAAGGATAGGAAAGAAAGATATTGTTTTCAGTATACAAAGATTATATAAATAGTATTATTATACTGTCAAATCTCAGTTGCCGCAGATCACATTTTAGAAAGTTTAACAGATGACCTTTATAGTTGAGTTAAAAGGCACACAGAAAATAAAACCCTGCCGATTCTCATACCATTAGTTGTTCTTAGATTTGGTTGAAGTTAGAGAACACATGAAATAAATGTTTCATGATGTTCAATTCAGTCCAGATAAGTGATAACAGTTATGAAATATTTATTTACATTTTTTATTTCAGCAACAAGCTTTTTCACTGTATATGAAGCCGCCTCACAGGAGGGCTGGGTATTTCTGATGTATAGAGCCATGGACAGTTTAGAATCTGTACTTGCCATCGTCTATTTTATATCCTTGATCTTCTTACTAGCCTGGCTTGTTAAGGTACATGCCTTCAAAACGTTTTATAATTTTCTTACAGTTTTAAAGGCCATTCAAAGGACATGTTCATTGTAATTGATATTATTTCAAACCCTTGATCCCAGATATTGTGAAATGAATTGTTTTGATGACATGCTTGTACTACACATAGCACACAAAACTTCTTTTGTCATGATATAAAACGACCATATTGAAAAAAAAAACATGATGTATGATTTGTTTAAGTTTTAACATTTACATAATTCAACTAGTCCATGTAGGTTACAGATTAAGGTAACTTTTAATGACTGGTAGAGGCCTCTTTAATTTTAAGTCACGTGTTCCTCATCTTTTGTGGCTAAAATCCCACCACCAATTATGTGTTCTTTCATGTTGTATAAAATTGTTATTTAGCAGGTAGTCTACAGTAATAGTTAATTGGCATATTAATAAATATTGCATGCCAGCTGAGCAATATAGCTTCAGTAAATTTTAAAAACTGTTGAATTCCTATATTTTTTCATGGCGATACTGAGACAATACTATATACACATTACAGAACATCTTTATTGCTGTTATCATTGAATCCTTTGCTGAGATTCGTGTACAGTTTCAACAGATGTGGGGATCACGGGGCACAGACACAGACTCTGACTCTTCACAGGTATCATCACATACAAAAGAAAATATAACGCTGTTTTAATGAAGCACCAAAATAAATATCTGTTTGTTCTTTTTTAAATGGCAGCTGATATTTTTTTCAACCACACTGTTTTTGGTTTTAAGAAATGTTTCATGATTCTGAAATATTTCTGTCTTGCTGAGCATAAATAGCTTCAGAATTGTTCATATGAAATTCTTAAATAAAGCTTTAGGCGGGTCAGAAATGCTTGCATTATATTTTACAACTGTATTTTCATTGAAAAATATGTGCTATTCTAAAGACTTCAATTGACATATATTTAAATTTTTATATTAAAAATTTTACACTTTATTGAATCAACGTGTATACATATATTTGTATAACAGGAAGTTTGTCATTTATAAAAAAATGCTATCTGAAGGTAATACAACAAGAGGGTAAAACATGGAAGATGGTGATATTGGATCAGAATAAACCACAGGGATTGGCACCACCTATATTTCAACAGATACTACGATCTAGTGCATTTCATGCGTTCATTTTATTGATGGTGCTGGCAAGTGCCATAGCCGAAGCTAGTCTCAGTTTTGACGGGGATTCTGTGGATCCAGAAAATACGATGGACACCTTTTATTATCTAGAGGTAGTAGTCAGTCCTTAATGTTGTAATGCCAAAATATTGAAGCATGTTTATAATAGTTTTTTTTAAATACCAAAAAGATCAATAATTTATCCTTCTTAATACTTCTCTACTTGACAAGTAGTGAGGCTTTATACAAGGGGTGGGGTGGTAGTGGCCAAGTGGTTAAGATCATTGACTTCAAACCACTTGCCACTCAACACTGTAGGTTGGAGCTGCGTAAGCAAGCCTCTTCCAATTCTTTCATGTGATTGAGCTATCCAGCAGAAAGTCGATGGTTCTACGTAGGTGTCCATTTGTGCATGAAATAACACACAGAGGGGCACCTGGGGTCTTCCTCCACCAGTGGAGCTAAACTGTGTTGGTGTGACATAAAACCCAATAAAAAAAATACAAGAGGCCTTTATGGCTGATTATTTTATTACTCGAAATAAAGAGAAACAAATCATACAGTCAACATACGTGTTTATTTTTATATGTTTTACTTTCATTTATGTAGTACTACAGACAAGCTGTTATGACACGACAAAGTTTGAATGGGATATTATTGGCCGCTCTAAATATAAATTCCGCCGACCGAAAGAGGAGTAAACGTGTAACATGTAACCAAAAACACACAAATTAAAAAACCAATGCAACTAGAAACCAATGCAACTAGAAACCAAATGACCCTCTAACTGACCCTTTTAAATGGAGACGAACTACTTTAACTTAACCTTGCTAGCTAACATAAGTTTTTGACCCCATAGGAACTGCGTAGTGAGAGAATCATAAATATACAACTGCCGTAACGTCGGTCCAACGAACACCGCATCACCATTCACGCCCACGACCGGTTGACCCAGGAAGTAGACGAAAACGGTGACCCGGGGCCCGTAAAGGGAAAGCAAGGCAGTGTAATCACAGCGAGGCAAGGCAAAGCAAAGCGAGCAAGAGCAAAGCTATATAGGAATCACCAAGTACTAGGGCGAAACCTATTACTGTCCAGTCAACACAACGACTGGTGAACCTATGATATCTCTCCGCAGTACCTATTTAAAATATCGTAAAGTTCGAGACCCGACGGCATACCCCACCCCCAAGCGGTTACCCCAGCCCAGAGATAGGAGACACAGCCGGGTCCCACTTCACAAAAGCTAATTTAATACAAGACTGAATTAGCCACGTCGGCTCGTCTTCCGGTCGACAGAATTTTACCGCTTGAATTAAATGAGCGACAGAAAGTAGAAAATAAAAAATGAATGTAATATGGTAAATACACAATTTGAATCCTATTCAACGAATGTGTTTAAAAGTAAGAGCATTTGACAAAGCAATGTACTAATATACGATGTACATATAAAAGATATAATTAGAGTCTTTATACATAATAAATGTCCTAAGATGTTTCAACAGTGTTCACAGAAACATTGTCTTTCGCCGTTAAACTAACACAATACATATTGTGAGCTTCCAATTTCACAATGCAAAAGTTCCATCTCTACACTGATACAATATGATAAAATAATAAAACATTTCAAAATGTTCCCTTCTAATCTACTGTCTATGTATCACACAAGTCACAGCTACGGCCGCAGTCTGCTGACGTCAAACATTTATCCGGCTTTGTCCCATCGCTCTTACAGGTAGTTTGTACAATGAAAGTTTACAGAAGACAGAACCTGGAATATATAAAATACTACGCCAGCAATATTGTAATTAACAAAGCAAGGTATCATGATAAACACTGTACAAGTGATATTTACAGCACACTGTATATTTTATTTACTATAGTGAAAATTCATGTACCAATATGAGCTTTTGATTTCAATGAGTTCCGAATGACAATATTTATAAAAGTAAAAAGTACATATCAATGTAAAAGAGGGGTGTGGCGGGTGGGAAACGTTTAAGCATATAGCGAATACGGCTGTTGAAAGCAAGTGAGAGGAATGCACGAGGTTCCCGAGTCTTATATAGCCGTGAGAAAGTGGCGGGAATTTTAGCGATCAGTCAAGTAGAACAATATCGTACTACCTAATGTGTTAAACACGTTTAACAAATACCCCTTGCTAGCAGACGATTTCAATAAAAAATAACCCAAATTATTTAAATGCTGAAAATAATTTTATTTATTTTATTACTCGAAATAAAGAGAAACAAATCATACAGTCAACATACGTGTTTATTTTTATATGTTTTACTTTATGTAGTACTACAGACAAGCTGTTATGACACGACAAAGTTTGAATGGGATATTATTGGCCGCTCTAAATATAAATTCCGCCGACCGAAAGAGGAGTAAACGTGTAACATGTAACCAAAAACACACAAATTAAAAAACCAATGCAACTAGAAACCAATGCAACTAGAAACCAAATGACCCTCTAACTGACCCTTTTAAATGGAGACGAACTACTTTAACTTAACCTTGCTAGCTAACATAAGTTCTTGACCCCATAGGAACTGCGTAGTGAGAGAATCATAAATATACAACTGCCGTAACGTCGGTCCAACGAACACCGCATCACCATTCACGCCCACGACCGGTTGACCCAGAAGTAGACGAAAACGGTGACCCGGGGCCCGTAAAGGGAAAGCAAGGCAGTGTAATCACAGCGAGGCAAGGCAAAGCAAAGCGAGCAAGAGCAAAGCTATATAGGAATCACCAAGTACTAGGGCGAAACCTATTACTGTCCAGTCAACACAACGACTGGTGAACCTATGATATCTCTCCGCAGTACCTATTTAAAATATCGTAAAGTTCGAGACCCGACGGCATACCCCACCCCCAAGCGGTTACCCCAGCCCAGAGATAGGAGACACAGCCGGGTCCCACTTCACAAAAGCTAATTTAATACAAGACTGAATTAGCCACGTCGGCTCGTCTTCCGGTCGACAGAATTTTACCGCCACAATAAATTTCTTAATTTATTCCCCCAAAAATTCTTAAGACCTTTTACAAATTTTTTAAAATTGCATCCCGTAAGTAGTCCAAATAAAATTCTAACCCCACTTCATTTAAATGTATTCCATCTTGGCGAAAAAAGGCAGTTTTCGAATCGATATCAGGCTTAACCAAGTCAAACTTGCCCAAACTACTAACCAGCTGGCGGCCTATTCTATTTATCCTTGACCTTTTATTTTCTAAAATCTTATAGGCACTTGGGTCGGATCCCCAGACCCTTCGTGGTAAAATGTCAACCCATATGATAAATTGTGGTTGGGAAAGCCTCTCTTAAGTAGAGTAATTCGCTTCTCATGACGTCCTTAATTTGTAAATTTGAAAGATATTAATTAAATCGTTTCCCCCCAAATGTATTATGATAATTGAAGGAGGAGAAGAAAGGAGAACCTTCGCTTCAATCTCGTGGACGCAAGGAAGTCCACTTCAGGCCCCTAACCGCTAACCATTCAATAGTTCTGCCTGGAATGCGAAGATTCGGTTTCCTGTATTCTTGTGCTCGAATACCTGCCCAGTAAGGAATAGAATCTCCCAGGACCCAAATATCTAAATAAAGAAATAATTTACCGTAGTTAATTAACCATTAGACATATAAATGCGGCAGACTTGCAAGTATGATTTAAACGATTGGACTATTTCGGATCTCGAATATACCGGTTATAACACTGGGAAGACCACCTGCCCAATCTCATGATTGACTCTGATGAAAGGCCTTGACTAGCTAAGTCAGTAGCTCTACCTATCCTAAAACTGTGAGTTTTATAAAGCACTTTTGGTGAAAAGTTCTCTGCTTGAATGCACTTATTTCAAAACAAGCCCCCGAAAAGTTGACCCGTGTTACTGGTACACCATCGCGGTGTATGAACAGTGGGCCTTGCACTTCAGGCCTTATAACTAAAAAATGTTGCAAAGCATTAACAGGGCAGACGGAAATTCGTCCATCGGTATCTTTAATTTAAGTTCTTTTTCCGGTTTGATTGGTCTTAAAATAATGAAGTCGAATGATGATATATCTGTTGTCTATTATTGACAAATCTGACAATAAAATAACTCTATGAATTTGCGTCTTAGAAGGAGTTACAAGTTCACTGACCCGAAATAACCAAAATATGCCAATGTAAACAGTGCTTGAAATAATTTAACCTCAAAGTCATTGTAACAAATGCGAGGTAAAAGTGAGCAAATGACTTTCAAAGTCGATTTAGTTATAGGTGCACGATTTTATCACGTGAAATCCTACATCTACGACAACCTTCTAACAATTTAGATACGACAAAAACGTCATATATATTATAAAATCCTTGCAGTTTGTGAAAATAGTTCAAACCCGCAACATAAGTAGAGATTGTAGCTGCTGATTTTCTCTTTTCAAAAGAGTAAGCAATAAATAGAACCACTGTTGGCTTGGTATTGGCCAAAGGGGAGGTAATTGATAAGCAGACCGAAATTTTCATAAAAAAACATTCAGCGCTGTGTTATACGTGGAATTAGTATTCGGTGCTAAGCTGGATTGTAATAATGCTCGAGCTCTAGATTGCAAATGTTCCAGAGGAATTCTGGTACTGGTTGAGAATGCAGGTCTGCTTCCGGTGCTAATTCTCTGAACCGGTTAACTGAAAACGAGACAGTGCATCACAAATTTCATTATTACGGCCAAAAATATGGGTAGCTTTAATCAAAAATATTTAATTTTAAACAATGTAAAGTTAAGAAACGAATTAAGCACATCACTGTTTCTGATTTTGATGACAGTTTGTTTAAGATACTGACTACTGCTATGTTGTCGCAACAAAATTTTATTTTTTTGTTTACTAATTCCCTACCCAAAATGAACACTGCGACTGCTATAGGAAATAACTCTAAAAATGTTATGTCCTTTGTAAGACCGTTTTTGTGCCAAAAATCGGGCCATTTTCCTTGGCACCAATGCCCTTGATAAAACACACCAAAACCTAAGCCTTCACCGCCTGCGCTATCCGAAAATAATTGTACATCCTCATTTGAAACCCAAAAAAGCATCATGAAAAACCGAAATGCCATTAAAATTTTGTAAGAATACAAGCCACATTTCTAAATCCCTACGTATTTCTTTTTTAATTCTAATATGATAGTGAGGCTTCGATAAACCACAAATTGAGTTTATAAGGCGTCGAGAAAAAAGGCCGTCCTATAACTATAGCCCTGCAACAAAAATTTAAGGAACCGATTAAAGACTGTACTTTTTTAAAGTTGATTTTTGATGAGACAATATGTCCTTAATTTTTATAACTACTTCCTGGATTTTTTCCAACGGAATTTTCACAGTCATTTTGTTTGAATCTAGTTCTAACCCAAGGAATACAAGTACTTCTACTGGGCCTTGTGTCTTTTCTTCTGCTAAGGGGACACCTAATTCCGACATTGTATTCTGAAAATGTCTAAACCATAAGAACAACTTTCTAAAGTTTTATCACCCCCTAAAAAAATCGTCTAAATAATGAATAAGTTTTGTTGATTGTAATTTTAATTTTGCGCAAAATTCGAGAAATCTAGAAAACCGTTCGAACGTTATACAACTGATAGACGCCCCAAAAGGTAGTGCCTTGTCAAAATAAAATGGTTGTTAAAACAGAAACCTAATAATTCGAAATCTGATGGATTGATTGGTATCAAACGGTAAGCGCTTTTAATATCGCATTTAAAAAGCTTACAATGGCGTCCTAAGGATTGAACCATGCTTACTGCTTCGTCAAAGCTTGTATATTGAACTGTGCATAAAGCCGGGTCAATAAAATCATTTACCGATTCACCTGGTGAAATGACAAGTGGTGAATCATTCTGAATTCGCCCGGGGTTTTCTTCGGCACTAAACCTATAGGAGACACAATAAATTAGGCAGAGGACGTTTTGAAAATGGGCCGGCAACACGACCGGCGGTTAACTTCTTTCTCAATTTGACGTGAAATTAGTTCTGGATTAAGAGTCGTCGATCTTAAATTTTTTAGCATCCCTTTGGTGAACGAGGCCCAGTATACTGAATAGAGAAACCATTTAAAAATCCTTCAAGTAGAAATTCTGCTTCCACCTTATCATAAAATTGTAAATAGTGTTTTAATCGAGTAATTTTGATAGGTGATTTCGCTAATAGAATGAAGACCGCCCTGACCATTATTTAAATTTTGTTTGCCTTTACTTCCTAAATTGTCCCCTAGAACGGGCTCGTCCCCTAACAAAGGGCTGTCCCCCTTTTGTCCGAAATGATGAATCAGCCGAAAGTGGAGGGCTGATCTACCGGTTTAGACTGTAAACCTTTATAACAGTTAATAGCCGAATGTGGCGCTGAGCATGTCGCACAAGTATGCGAAAATTTACAGTTAGGCCACGTGCAAACTTCCGGCATTGAAATCGTTACACGTGTACCTATATGAATTTATAGTAGAACGAAGGCTTGGTTTGACCTGAACACAACGCCACCACAAGTCATTATTTATTTTGCACCATGGAGAAGGCGTAATTGCCTGTCGGAGGCGAAACTGTTCGTCATAGGCTTGCCAAGCTAAGCCACCCTGTCGAACCGCGCAATCTCTAATATTGAACATGTAGTGCAATATTTCGTAAACTTTATCAGCGTGAGTGGACAGGTAGATAGATGCGTAAATAATAAAAGCATTGGTCCATTTCTCAATGCTACTTATTTGGTCTTTACACTCCCTTTGTGCAGATTCGAGGTGGCCATCGCTACTTAAACGAAATACCGACCCCTTGCAAAACTCGGGACAATTCAACAGACCCCTTTAATAGTAAAGCTAAATTGATATATTCACCCTTACAGATTTTCTGCTTAAGGGTCGCGGGCACATGAGCTGATAAATCGTCATCAGCCAGTCTAATTCCAGCCATAACAGGCAAGTCATTCATAACAGAAGTTGGATTATTACTGCGATTATCTAAATGTGAAGAAATAGTACTATTAGGTAAAGTCACGCCGCCACACCAACAATTTGAGAATTACTGTTCGAATTTTCAGGCAAAAATATTAGAAGCTTGAATGATATGTTCAAAATCAATAATCGGCGACTTACCAGCGTCTGATTGATTCACCCGTGGATCCACACAATCCTCCAGAACGTCAGCACCCCTCTTGTTACCACGGCTATTGCTGGTAAGAACCTGGTTCGAGGACTGACGTGTCCGAACTCCTGGCCGACTTGTGGATTCTGTTCTTTTGCGACCTCGTGGCATTTTGCTGAGTTTCACATAAACGTTTAAGCATATATAGCGAATACGGCTGTTGAAAGCAAGTGAGAGGAATGCACGAGGTTCCCGAGTCTTATATAGCCGTGAGAAAAGTGGGCGGGAATTTTAGCGATCAGTCAAGTAGAACAATATCGTACTACCTAATGTGTTAAACACGTTTAACAAATACCCCTTGCTAGCAGACGATTTCAATAAAAAATAACCCAAATTATTTAAATGCTGAAAATAATTTTATTTATTGTCTTGTGTGGTGTGCTGGTTTCTGGAAGACCAGTGGTTTACTCAAATACCTTTCTGTGTCTGAAATGATGTGGAAAGTGTCATCTTAGTTGCCATATGTCATCTTGTCCGTGTCATTATTACTGAGATTAGCTATAAATTATAAACAGTACAAGTGAATAAGGGAAAAATGTTAAATGTAGATTAAAAGATGTTTAATTTGGGAGAGGAACAAAGTTGCCTTTCCTTAGCTCAAGGATAAAGAGTGAGTTTTGCATATCATTTATATTTCAGACAAATGTTCTATTAAGTTAATGAATTATGTTACAGGTATTCTTCACTCTATTGTTTGATCTGGAAGCTATATTCAAGATTTGGTGTCTTGGTTTCCGTGGTTACTGGCGACGTTCCCTTCACAAGTTTGAGCTCTGTCTTGTTATTGGTACAACTCTACATATCATACCTGCCTGGTACAGAACCCAGCTGACCTATTTCCAGGTATAGTTAGTGTTACAATACATAAATGTTAATATACATTTACATGAATATTTTGATTTTATTAATAAAGAGTGGTAGAAAAGATTCATGTTTACATTTACATTTTGATTTTATTAAATTGAATACAAAGTGTTCATAATATATGAAGTAATGTTAAGTTGGAAATTATATTAAAAGAAAATTAGTTTGATACATGATACTACATAAAACCTTTTTCTTTGAAGGAAAAGCTTTCATCTCGGAATTTCACATTAAGCATATAACACTCCATTAATATCATTAACACAGTAAAGTCTTAAGAGTCAGGCACAGTTATTAAACTCTTAGAGTATCTTTTTACAGAAATTTAGAAATCTTTTGACTTTTAAAAAACAGTTATATTGAGTAAGTATATGTTATATTTATATTATTTGGTTGTAGGTATTAAGAGTGGTGAGACTGATTAAAGCATCACCAATGCTGGAGGATTTCTGCTGGAAGGTATGTTAACTTTGCCGCTAATGATAAATCATGTACCTACTTACCTCATTACTACTGTTGCATCACCAAACCTATATAAGGTAGTAATGAACATCATTCTTACATGAAACACTTTATCTTATTAATTTCTTTTTAATTTACTTAAAGTGTTTCAGGATAAATTGAGCAACGTTTGCTAGCTAGATAGTTTCTCCGACTTGAAGTTTGATAGTAACTGTGAGGAACATTTAAGTGATAGAAGCTGTAAATGCCCAAATGTTAGAAAGCCCTATTTAAATTATAAATGTCTTTAAGTTGAACTTACTTTAATCAGTAAAATATCAAGTTATGTGTAAACATGTGAAAATTGTTATTTCTATAATTTATATTAACAGATATTTGGTCCTGGGAAAAAGTTGGGAAGCATTGTTTTGTTTACAATGTGTCTGTTAATCATAGCCTCTAGTATCAGTCTACAACTTTTCTGTTCTATCGAGGGATTTGATAACTTCGAAACATTTCCCAAGGTAAGTTCATCCTTCATATGGGTGTTTCTTCTTTTTTTGTGACAGATAAGGTTATTATGATACTGTTGATACAGTTAAAAAATAGGTTTGGTCATAGATAAATGAAAGATGAACCTGGTGTTTTGCTAAAGTGTTAAGACATAAAGTGTTCAAGGTGAACTGGTGCCCTTACTTTTAATATATCTGCATTTTAGCCATTACATGTAGTTTTTCTTAAATGGCTAGTATCTACTTTTTGAACTGTTCATTGCCAAATTTGGGGATGTGAAAGTTTAAAGTTGGCCTGCAGGGATGTGTAGGCTGGCTTGAGTTGATTTTTGTGGCAAAGGCAAAGGCTAATCCCAATTTCAGTTATTTTAAGGTTTCAATTCTTTCTCTCATTAGAATTTTCAGAAATATGTCACAAGTGGTTGATACTTACACACTTGTTGACTGCATTTCTGATTGTCTCATAATTTATAGCAGAAACTCCTTTAGGTTCCCTCTGCTACACACCAGCAAATGATGTAATTTACATGAAAAAATATATATACAAAAATCATAGTTGTGTTGGTTTGTCTAACTTGCCAGTTTATAGTATAATATTTGAATACCAGTTTTGAAATAGAAAAAAACAACAAAAAACAATCCTTAAAAGCCTATTGTAGCTGTTATATTTTTGCTGTGTAAAAGTTGTAAAACACATGTCTTTATCTGTAATAAGCTTGAGTTTAAAATATTTTGATAAAAAATGATAAAAACTAGTTATTGGAGCTTAAAATAAAGTGGAGACAAAAATGTTGATAAGGATTGTGACAAAGTTAGTACTAGGACAATGATTGATTTTTATCTGTATGATCTTTTATTGCTTTCCAATAGACAAAGTTTGATACAAAGTTTGATGGTTTGGTTACATGAATATAATACCATGACATTTTAACATCATCAGCTACAAGAAATCATGTAGAATATATTACTTATTACATCACCCAATAAAAACCTGTTTCTGGTTTAAGATCTTATATTTTGATTGCATATTCTAAAACATATTTTAAATGTTAGTATTTTTGTTTTAAAGATATTGCTGAATTTTGTTGTTGAACTAAATAAAAAAGATGTCAAAGTGACCTTTGAATCAGTGAAAACCAGAAATAGGTGTACTGTCAAACATGTTGTTAAAGACCACCTTTAAAGAAAGACCATGCATTAGGTAGGAAAACTTGTTTGTAAAGGCTTTTCACGCTTTACCCCACCTTAACAAAATGTTAACAGTGACAGTACATTTTGAAATCTAGTAAAGACCACTTGGCTTTAAAGGCCAATGTTTTTATTTTCCAGGACTGGTCTTTGTCAACAGGTTTGGTCGTATTTTAGCCTAATTAAGAATTGAATCTGTACATGAAATGTTTCTTTGTTTATTTTAGAATATGATGTATAGGTTAATGTTTGTGAATATTTCAGGCTTTCATGTCAATGTTCCAGATTCTCACCCAGGAGGGTTGGGTGGAAGTTGTGTCTGGCACACTTTCGCATACACCAAGCGATTTTTTTATTGTGTTAATACGTCTCTACTTTCTTTTCTACCATCAATTTGTTAGTGTGGTGAGTAAGAAGTATGCAACTAAATACTCACTGCATATATCTATGTTGACCTGTCATATTTTCAAGGTCATCCCGGAAACAGAACCAGTTTCATTTA